GTCATCCGCCCGGAACTGCTTCCAGTGTACAACAGTGAGCGCAAGCTACATTAAAGTGATTATTACGTTTTGAATATGGATATTTTTCTTACAAAAACGCATTGATTCACTACAGAAGGCCTTTGTTCACCCCCCGGAGCCACGAGAGACACTTTTTTATGGATGGCCGCTTTTTATTTAACTTGTTTTGGACTGAAGCATGCAACACCCGCTGAGTGCCATAAAACAGCATGAAAGATCAAAGACAATTTTTAATATAACTCCAACTGGATTCGTCTGAAAGAAGAAAGTCATATACACCTAGGATGACTTGAGGGTGAGTAATTTATGGGCTAATTTTCATTTTTCGGTGAACTAACCCTTTAAGAGCAATAAAACACGGAGTGGTTTTGTCAAAGGGCTTAAGCTACTAAAGCTTTCCAAAAATAGAGCAGCGAGTTTTTTCACCAACATTAATGCTGTTTGATTATTTGTAATGACATCATTGACAGAGGCAGGTCTCTTTAGGCTGCATTTACACTGCAAGACTTTTATTTTGATATGACATGTTTTGTCTGTGTTTACATAAAGTTCATGCTGTACCAGCATTTTAATTTTTTTGAATTTTTCTCGCAACATGAATACCTAGAACATGTCATTTTTAACTTCAAGCTTCTTTTAACTTGACACATGTGCTCATATGTGAGACGACACAGAAGACATGAGCACGGTGAAAATGGTGAAAGATGTGCATCAAGTGCGTTTACATAGAAAAACTATGGAAAAGAAGCACAAAGTCACGAAAAAAATTTCTGTGCCAGCTGACATACCTACTGCTGCAGAAAGTGTTTTTCATCAGTGACAAAAAACATTTGTCTTATAATTTGCGATTTGTAACATTATTGTGTTTACCTGTAGGAAAGGGCACCAGCGAAGTGGTTCTCGATGTAGTTGTCCATTACAGGTTTGAAGAGCTGGAATTTGCTGTCCTGCAGCAAATTTATAACGTGCACCTGAGGAGAAAAAGAAAAGCATCACTTCAATAAAGCTGTAAGCATATCCATAGCAAAATTATTATCATAATTTAAGCTAAATAAGTCCCTTTGGCTTTGGCAGAGTTTACTTTGCATTACTGACCAGCAGAATCAACAACAGCCGAATCACTTTCCAAATCACCTGTAAGTGTATCAATCTCTGGTGAATCAATCATGTGGCAGATCCATTAAATCCACTGGCAGAATCAACTGTTAATGTACATTATCCTGCTTATTATACTAGATTAATCATATGATATAATGACAGGAGTTGGATAATAGCAAGAAAAGTCTAAGATTAGATAACATGAATTACCTTTGGTGAATCATAAGGCAGTAAATCAATAACTGTTGAATCAACTTGCATCACATCAACCATTGAAACCATTGCTGGTGAATCAACTGTTCAAATGGTCTATGAACCTTTTAAGGTGCCATTTCCATGATGAATTTAAATTATTTTATGTGAAACAGGCCGAAGTAGGCCGTGGAATGATATGACACATAAAACTAGCACAGTGTAGCATTAGGACCAATCAGACACACAATTTTCCATTAGATTTAACAAATCAATTATTCATTAGATTAACAAATAATCACAGACCCCTCACCCAATAAACATACTGAGTGCCAGCATGTCTGTGAATGATCCTAGGCCCCTGGTTACCATGGCAACCAGGACACCTCAGCCAGATCAGATAAACTTTTACGACCTAAAAGTATGTAGAGAGAATCTTCCTCCTACTTCGTTCTCTCTGAAACAGACACATAATGCTATAGGAAATGACTTCGTTCTTACATTAATTCATAGACAAATTTTTCTATGACTTTCCTATCATGCATATCCCCAGGTCTTTGTGTATGATTACTACCTCCTTGTATATGGTCTTGTGTATTGTATACTATTTTAATGCATGCTTATGACAGATCACTAGTTAATGTAAACTCCCCTATACCATGTTTGGCCTCTATGAATTCATCTTCGGATGATCTAATTGAGAGTGTATATAATATGTGGATACCTATGCAACATATTAGTGTTCTAAGAATCTTCAATGGTTTGCATATCAACATCCAATCCAGTTCCATATGCAAATTACCATGCTAGAGACAAAGGATCGTAAAATGTACCTCCAAAGCTACCATTCCTCATTGGCTCACTCAAATCCTGAGGGTGTGACATCGTCACCCTTTATAGATCACTGATCTCCAGATCAGGCGGTTCTTTTAGATTCAGGAATTCCAGGAGAAGATGCTGAGCTAAGAGTCTTCAAAAAAACCACCCAAAGCTCTGGCCTAGTCTTTCCATTCATCAAGATCCTCTGACTCAAATTGGTTCTTTCTCATCAACTAACTTCAGCAGAGACCAGCTGGAGCACCAAAGTGCATCAGGACTCTCTTTTAAACAGACGAGACGTGCAAGTATCAAACTTAGTTTTATTCATTGATACATTAAGTATCATTTGCACCTTTTTACAAAAGTGTGTTTGAACTAAGAAACTGATGTTTCCTTCAGGCTGTAGATCTGTTGAATATCAAATTGTACCATAGCTTCATGTCTTTATTTCTCTTCTCTTAACTGCTTAAGCTTTAACCCCTTTTTCCTATGCCAACTGTATGCGTGTGTGTATGTTAGACTAGTTTAAGTGTTTATGTAGTTAATAAAGTCTTACTTGTATCACACTTGAGGTTGTTCATTGTTTGCTCATAACTGGAGTCCCTAATCATGCAGATTTTTGCTACATGCTCTGAGTAGTATTGTACAGTAAGAAAGTTATTTTCCTTAACCAGGAAATTACTCGTTCTATTTTTCTATTTTTTATTATCTGTGTTTTTGTTCTGTCACTGTCATTCTGTTACACTGTGGAGCTTCTGTCATGAAAACAAATTCCTCGTATGTGTAAACATACCTGGCAATAAAAACTCATTCATTCATCATTCATTCATTCATTCAATTAACGTTCTTAGAAGTGACAGACAGTTGACACTGAGATGTCAAGTAAATACTTACAGCGGATCTAAATATTTATAATTAATTATAACTAGTTATAATTAACTATTCATATTTCCCCTTTGAGCTGATTCGCTACAACAGCTATGTAGTAAATCGGTTTGTCCAAGACAACAATTGTTTGGTTTTTTTGGTAACAGACAGAAGAATGCAGCAGCTGAATCAGGTGTTCCAGAGAACTGTGTAAAAAGTAAAGTTACTGTACAAAACACTTCCTAAAAGAAAAGCCTAAAAGAATGAATCATGTAGAGTTTATTTCAAATGTGCTTTCGGATGTAGAAGTGCTTTGGATGTGAGGATGTGAGGACAGGAGTTGGATTATACCAAGAGAAGTCTAAAGGTGATGATACATGGGGAAACTTTTTTGAGCAATGTTGCTTGGGCACTTTCCCATTGAGAATGGGCATCAAATTTCTATCTGGATACTTTAGATCGGCTGTGGGCCCTGTGTCTCACCTGGTTGCCCATTGACTGCAACATTGCCCAACAACATTACTCAAAGTTTTTATGAGTTGCCATATTTGGCATGTAACTGTGGTAACACAGAGGAGGATAGATGAGGAAAGTATCTTGTACTCAATAATGGCAAGAAACCGTCTCCTTGCAGAAGAGATGGATGAGTTTGTACGAGTTTGCAGTCAAAATATGTAGAGTATCTGTGGAAACTAGAAACTTGAGAGCAATGCAGTGTCTACATTTCATATATTCACCTTCATAAGGTTTGAACAGAGCATCACTCACCAGGCAGTCAAAGACTTTTAGTCCATACCGCTGGGGACTCTCGTCTAAAATCCCAAACAAGGTGTCCAGAGTGTCCTGTAAAAACTATACAAAGACAATCAATTGTTACAGAGAAACAAAAATTGATTATTTTTTGGAAAATATTCCATGCAATGTCTGCAGATTCAGTGATAAAAGCAAATTGCTGTATGTGGTTTATACCTTAACAATTTCAGTGCCATCAATGTCCTTCAGTTTGGAGAGGCAGTCAATGATTCTGTCCGGATGGACTCTCCATTTCAGCAGGTCTAACATGTCACCTGAAAACAATATAAGAAATGTGCACTTTTGAAAAGAAACTATTTAAATTGGATTATTGATAAAGTGTCTGAATCAGTCTTTTGGCAGATCTGTTAAATCCACTGGCAAATTAAACGTTAATGAATCAACCACTAGCGAAATATCAACTAACAAATCAAATGCTGGCAAATCAACAATATACTTCAAATCAGTAGTTGCCGAATCAACCATTAAAGAATTAACAATTACCAAATCAATTGTCTGCAAAATAACCTGTTGATGAATTCTTTGTTGACAAATCAATTGTTGAATAATCCAACACTGGCAATTCAACTGCTGGTGAATCAAATGTTGCTGAATCAATCACTGGCGAATCAACTAGGTGAATCAACCATCATTACTGGGAATCAACTGTTGGGCGAATTCATCAGTAACAAATCAACGATTGGCGAATCAACTGTAGGTGTATCAACAATCATCACTGGTGAATCAATTGTTGGTGAATCAATTGGTACCAAATCAACAGCTGGCAAATCAACTTTTGGTGAATCAGCTGATACAAAATCAACCATTTGCGATTCAACTGTAGGTGAATCAATCGTTAGTAAATCAATCACTGTTGAATCAAATATAGGTGAATCAACCATCATCAGTCTATCACTGGTGAATCAACTGGTACTGAATCAACAACCGGCGAATCAACTACTGTAGGTGAATCAACTGTCAACACTAGTGAGTCAACCGCTGACAAATCAACTTCTGTTGAATCAACCAGTACAAAATCACCCATTGGCAAATCAACTGTACGTGAACCATTGTCAGCCGCCAGTTGCCCGACTTGCGCTCCCGTGGCATCTGCTGTTGCTTAGCAACCAAGACTTGCACTCTCCATGATGACACAGAGGTTTCAGCAAAAGGTAAATGGATTTCCAGCACCAGAAATCGCTTGCAGTAGCTCTGCTACTATTCCTGTACAGCTACGATTAGCTGTTCCTCCATCTTGGCTGAGCTTTCAATGTTGTTACAGAAAAGGTGAAGCTGACTGGTTGGTTCTTGTCACATGACCTGCAGTGTGCTTGCACCATTCTAAAAAGTTCTGATTTTTTCATCTCACTGTGGCATAGAAGTGCCTCTGAAAAATGAGCGTGTCACAGCGCATGAGCGTCGCGACCGTGCCGCTTCTATCATGAGCGCATTTGCCGCACATTTACATTTGAAATAAACAACTTGAGCGAGCAAAAAACGAGACCTGAACAGCCCCTGAGAGATCTTCCAAATATTTACATGGAATATGTAGGATAGCTACATGCAATGGGACAATGTGAGAATGATTTAAAAAAATTAAGTAATTGAACTAAATGCTTAGACAAAAGTGGTTTTGTCTATAGTTCACAATCTGACCGATATAGTTCAAAGATCAAGCTAAAAAAAAAAAACAGCTAAACTTTAAACCCTGAAGCTTGAGACTGAGTATAGATGCAATATAAACTGAATCTAACTTGTGTTCAGTGGCTTTGGTTAAATAACAGCCAGATGGCCGTTGATATGTGTGCAGTTGGGTGAGGGCACAGCAGAGCCGCAGAGAGACTGGGCGAAACTCCAAGGTCAACAGAGGCAGGTGTGGGCTCAGTCCGCTGTGATCTCTGGTCCAAATGCAGGCCTCTCTGTTTTTGCCACTATTACCATGACATTCACCTGCTGAAGGGCTCAGATCGATATATATATATCACAATATCAAGGTCATGATGCAGACAGGGTCATATGGCACAGAGACAAGGTATTTATGAAATCACCGCTCTTCTAACAGACATCAGACTGGATGGGATAGATCTGAGATCTTAACTAAAACATTCATTTCCATTACAGATTCACTTGCTGGAAATGTATACATTTTTGTGTTTTTTCATGATGTGTTTATGCCAGATCAGGTTTAGCTTAATCTAAAATCTTAAATCCAGATAACTTAATTTAGTTTTATGGCATATTGTAAGGAGGAACATTCTCTCACCATTCTGAGTGAGTTTAGTGGAGCAGAGAGACGACTGGATCCAGAAAGACTCTTTGCTGTTCTTTATTGTCTGGTTGTTGCCCGGCTGGAGGCTGGCTTTGGAAAATGGCAGTTTGAGGTACCGAGAGGGATCCTGAAGATCAGCTGTCTCTTCACACTATTGTGAGGGAGACAGTGAAGTTCAAAAGACACAAAAAATGTCACTAAAACACAACAGATACTCACAAAGAAACCATGGATATCACTTTGTATTAAAAAAAGGGTTGGCCACCCCACTCACAACTGCTGCTTCTGTCTCTTTTTTCTTGACAAGAATTGCATTTATTTAGTTGCAGAATTGTGTTTATTTAGTTGCAGAACATCTTTACATCTACATCAAACGGGAAACTTTTCAGATGCGCACTCAACTTCACCTCAGCATGAGGCGTTAGTCAAACGAGCGCAAAAAAGGCCATATGTCAGTAAAAAACTAAATTTCCTGTCCTGTCAGCCGTTATACTGTGCTCGTAGCACGTGCACTTCAATTGCACACACAAATGTAGTGGCATGCGCTGTATATCACTTCATATTAAAGCACAAATGAAACTACGAGCATGCAATGTCGTAGTTATGTCGTCAGTTAAGTCATAAAGTTACCAAAAAGGCGGCTAAAGCTGCCTTAAAACTGTGTATGTATTTGTTATATAGGAGTCAGATTTAAGAACGTCTCTGAAATGCAGTGGTTTTCAAAACTGTCCTGGAACAGCCCAGCACTGTCTCCCTTATCTAACACACCCGATTCAACATGTCAGCTCATTAGTAGAGACTTTAACACCTGAAGTGGGTCAGAAAAGGTAAAGAGTTGTGAGAAAATATGATGCGTGTCAGATCCACGTCATGCTAAGCAGCGGCAGCTCTTAAAGCAGCCAAAATAACCTAATAACCAGCTGCTGTGACGTCTGTTAATCAAAGAACAAAAGAAAAAAGAGGAAATCAATAACTTTAGTATCTTTAATGATTATTCTTTAATTAAGAATTTAGTGTTTGATAACTTTATTCAATTTCTGTATATTTCCAACTTTCTGAAGGGCACAGGAAGCTAAATATGACATTTATTATAATGGGTTTATGTGAAGATTGTTTTTTTAAGTTCACTTAAATTAGAAGTAATTTTTTTAAAGTCTAATAAATGTTCAAATTGATAGCCGAAATGATTGCGATATAAAAGTATATTTAAAAACTTTAATGTTAGGTGGGATTAATCACGAGTAATTTCAGAAAAAATGTAATTTTGTAATAATGTAAAGTAATTAGTTAATTTTTTTAATCGATTGACAGCACTACTTTATTTACATAAATTTGATGTATTAAATTAGAGATATTAGATCATCTATTTATTTATATCTACATACATTAAAAATAAAATATTTCTTGTGTAGAATTTAGGGATGTTGAAGTTAACGCGATAACGCATTAACATAATCTCACTTTAACAGAGTTTTCTTAATTTTTTTTTTTAAACCGCAGTTAAAGGGTTAGTTCACCCAAAAATGAAAATTAGCCCATAAATTACTCACCCTCAAGTCATCCTAGCTGTATATGACTTACTTCTTTCAGACGAATCCAGTCGGAGTTATATTAAAAATTGTCTTTGATCTTTCAAGCTGTTTAATGGCACTCAGCGAGTGTTGCAGTCAAGGGTGTAACTTTGGTTTAAGAAGTGGGGGGGACACAAAATGGGGGAAAATGTTTTCGATTTGAATCCCATTTCCTGCATGTACATAAATTTATGGACTATGGTGATACAAAATCCAGGAAATAATTAATAATAAATATAATAAATAAAGTTGATTAATGATCAATTCAGGCAAAAAGAATAGTAGGCTACTAAACTATGAATAAGAAAAAGCTTACTTTCTTTATTGTTTAATAGGGGCCGATCGCCAAGACTTGAGAGAATAATTTTATAAAGTCGAAAATGGTACCTTAGGCTCCACTCAACCAGTGTGTCTCTGTTAACACACTTTTGAAGCATCGCTCCCCTCACCATTGAGGGTTATTGTGAGCATGGTGCTTTCTTTCGAGCATTTGAATGCTCTTTCTTCTGAGGAGTTGGATTCCTCGCTCCGTGGGCTGTTCTGGGAAAATGTTTTCGATTTGAATCCCATTTCCTGCATGTACAATACAAAATGTACTATGGTGATACAAAATCCAGGAAATAATTAAGTTGATTAATGATCAATTCAGGCAAAAAGAATAGTAGGCTACTAAACTATGAATAAGAAAAATATGTCTTACTTTCTTTATTGTTTAATAGGGCAAGTTTACTCAAGACTTGAGAGAATCATTTTATAAAGTCGAAAATGTTCACCATTAATGTTTTGAATAATGTGAGACTCAATTTCCACTGTTAAACAAAACTAACCGCTGTACCTGAAAATATAAAATAAATCACTTGTTGCACAGGACAGAATGTTCTACATCAGTGGTTCCCAGACTTTTTAGAGTGGAGTACCCCCTGAGGCATTTCTGCTTAGGCCTACCCCCTCTCTTCCACTTAGACTGCACCTTTTCCATTAAAGGACAATATTTGCCCCCTAAATTGACTTTCCAATGCATTTTTTTCATCTTTATAAATAGAATATTAATGTTTAAAATAAAAATAAAAAGTCAATAGATTAATATGCAATGATTAAAAAAAAGTGAAAAGTGATTATTTTAAATACTAAAACCGCCACCTTTTCCATTAAAGGACAATATTTGCCCCCTAAATTGACTTTCCAATGCATTTTTTTAATCTTTATAAATAGAATATTAATGTTTAAAATAAAAAAAAATGTCAATAGATTAATATGCAATGATTAAAAAAAAGTGAAAACTAAGTAAGTCACTGTCTAATGCGTGAGTCATCGAGTCATTTGTTCATTCAGTAACTAAGCAAGTCGGTGTATTTATAAATGAATCATTGAATCAACGATTCGTTCACGAAACACCGCAAAACTAAGCATTTTGTTCGCGTACCCCCTCTGTCGTACCACGTACCCAAGTTTGGGAACCACTGTTCTACATTAAATATTTAGCTAACAACAGTCTGTTACCTAGCAACAGTGTATGTTAACGTTAGCTCAGTCAAAGTAGGCTAACATTAACAGGTGTAGACAGAAAATATGATTATTCTGACCTGAGCTAATTTACTGAATCAAACTCACATCTCCTTTCTTTCTTTCTTTTCATCCATGATGACACTGAAGTCATCTGTTGCTGCTTCTGGCGTTTCATCGCTGACTGTGCCGCAACCGCGATACCTGCTCATTAGAACTTTAGTGAGCTATTTTTAGAGTGTGCACCTGTTTTTATAGTCTATGGTGTGCACGCGACGTTCCTGGATGCACACGCTCATGAAAAATGGGGGCAAAAACAAAAGTGTTGCGTTTATAATTTTGTTCAGTGTATGAGTGGCTTTGGAAAATAAATCGCACCACGTTTCAGATGAAAAAACGCGTCTTCTATTTCTGAAAATATCACAGTTAGGAGATTTATAACGAGTGGTTCCCTACATTATTACAGCAAAGCACGTGATTACAGTACTAAGCCGCTGCAATGGAGCAGCTCCAATGCTATTAAATTAAAGATGATATACCATAGAGCAAAACAATGAACAGTGAAAGTAACAAAAACTTGTAAAATACATTTTAATGGGCATAATTAAGTGTGAAAATAACCGAAGGATATACAGTGAAACCAAAAATTATTCAGAGACCAGATATAATTTGATATTTTTTTACTAGTGGGTGCAGGACACTATAGTTCACTATAGTTTTTATGTAAGTGAGGATAGCAAAATAAAGTAAACTGTGACAAATCATAACCAAAAATTCTTCATACAGTGGACTACCAGTAAAATTGATACAAATTTGGGACCAAAAATTATTCAGACCGAGTCTGAGAAAAAAACTGAAGTTCAGGTTTGCATTAAGCTGGGTGACAGCATGCCCAGGAGACTACAGACTGTCATTAAGGCTAAAGGTTGCCCGACAAAGTATTCATAGTTGTGTAAATACTGTCATACTAACAGCGGTCTGAATACTTTTTGGTTGATTGTAATCTTTTACATACCTTTCGATCAAAATTATCTAACATTATCAAGATGAATTTGTTTTGACACAGTTTAACTTGTTGTTGAGTTCTTGTTATATTTTATTACCATTTTCTAAACTATAGCGAATAAACTGTGATAATGTGTGAAATGTTGTAGGTGTTTGAATAAATTTTGGTTTGACTATCTATTTGATAAATGAAGTTAACCAACTAACGTTATACATACTCTTTTGGTTTCTGTACCCAATATTTAAAACATTTACAAATGCAAAATATCGGTATCGGTACTCGGTATCGGCAAGTACCAAAAATAAAAGTATCGGTATCAGGCGAGTACTGGAAAAAGTGGTATCGGTGCATCCCTAATTATAATGTAAGGCTCATTCCTTTACACATACATACAGTCTGAGTAGGACAGCAAAACTGTTGATGTTAGAAACACCACAAAACATTTCTAATTACTCTGTCAACACATGTGGCTCAAAGGTGCCTCGTTGCCTACTGAGGGTGTGAAAGTAATTTTGTTCTTTTGTCATGCATGTACATTATGTGACAGTGAGCAACACAAGAACATGTACGTTTACATGTATGAACATGTACATTTGTACAACATTTGACTACCTGTATGGTATCTTTATTAGATGTGTCTGTGTTATATTATGACATAAATGACACTGTGATATCTCAAAGTTCACGGTAACTCAATAAAAACTGTATTTTGTTCCTGTAAAGCCTGTATTTACACTGCTAATCTATGAATTAACTGCATAATGACATGATTAAACCATTACAACAAATGGCACGGAGCGGCCACATTATCATATGATGTTATTGAATGACAAAAGATACCGTAAAGCTAGAGCTTTAATTTACATAATGCAAAACATAAATTCAATATTAAGGTGATGTAAAAACGACAACTAATGACAACTAAATGCGATTATCCCACCTGGAATGATGATATCAGAGAATCCCAGCCTCTTAGTAATAGAAACGTTGCGGGTGAAAAGACGCATGTAATCCTTGCGAATCTGTTCCATATCCCCATGCAGGAGTTGGAGAGAGACATTAAGGCCTACAAAATAAACACAAATGCATTTCAATAAACCTTTGTGGTAACATCTGACAGTATCATATCATATGTACTGTAAACAGACAACATCCAAGTGTCTGCCAACAAAAAAAAGCTGGATTTCCTGTTACTGTATGTAAAGCAAGTCTGGAACAGAACATAATCTTAAAAGAACATGCATCATGTTTTCAGTCTCACAATTTACTGAATAATTTCTTAACACATTGTACAAAATGTAAAAATAAATGAATAATTTATATTATTCACAAAAGAAGATATTCTGATAACCATATATGTTGATAAAATAGTTTTGGGGTCCCATTAATTTCCATACAGTATGTTTTGTCCATACTATGAAAGTCAATGGGAAACCATTTGGTTACCAACATTCTTCAAAATATTTTCTTTTATGTTCCACAGCCACACAAATCATACAGGAACAACAAGAGTTAAAATTTTTGGTGGGACTATCCCTAAATAAAATTAAAATTAACTTCAACTTGACACAGTCAATCCCTCTAAACAACTGCCAAATTTGTTTTATTTCCACCGTGTTAATTTTCTGCTTAAGTTGCAATTACTAAATAATAAAAAACCCACAGAATTACATAAATTTTTTTTAAGTTACAGAGTTCAAAAGGTCCTGCATGACAGGAATGACCCAGCTGCCTCTTTATGAAATTAAATATTGGTAATCCGGTGCCCCATTTGTAACATTTGTGCTTGTTACCACAATCTCGTCATCGAATCAATAATAGATCTTATTTTGATCCACCACACTTAATGACAAGCATTTCTCTGCCTCCCTCATTTATGCGACTGATGAAAGCCAATGATTCTGACATCCGTGCACTAGATTTACACTTTAAAGTCCCAAGTCTCTTTGAAGAAACACTTTGTTTCTCGAGCAATTTCATCACAAAGCCCAGCAAGATGTTGAGTTCTTACAGATGGAAATTTCACCCATTCCCATTCCTTTATTCGTCTAAATGACTTTCATCTTAAGTATAATCCTGCTGTACATCTGCTGAGGGACACAGCCTGCGGTTTCGACTGACATGAGAGAAACTGCATAATCTCCTTCCTGCTTTTTTTTCTATCTGGCCCTCTTCTTCATGCTTAAAGGGTTAGTTCACACAAAAATGAAAATTCTGTCGTTAATTACTCACCCTTGTGTTGTTCCAAACCTGTAAGACTTTCATTCATCTTCAAAACACAAATTAAGATATTTTTGATGAAATCTGAGGGCTCTCTGACCCTCCCATAGACAGCAAGGTAACTACCGCGTTCAAGGTCCAGAAAAGTACCAAGATGATTGACAAAGTAGTCCGTGTGACATCAGTGGTTCAACTGTAAAGTTACGAAGCTACGAGAATACTTTTTTGCGCAAAGAAAACTAAAATAACGACTTTATTCCACATTTTCCACTTGTGGACTCGCGTTCACGAGAGTACCATGACCCAAGCGTGTGGCGGCGCCGGCGCTGACCCAGTTCCGGCGTGATGACGTCATTACACCGGATCTGGGTCAGCGCCGCCACACGCTCGCGTCATGGTACTGTCATGAACGCGAGTCCACAAGTGACGCAGAAGACGAAAATGTGGAATAAAGTTGTTATTTTTGTTTTCTTCGCGCAATAATTTATTCTCGTAGCTTCGCAACATTACAGTTGAAACACTGATGTCACACGAACTACTTTGTCAATCATCTTGGTACTTTTCTGGACCGTTAACGCGGTAGTTACCTTGCTGTCTATGGGAGGGTCAGAGAGCCCTCAGATTTAATCAAAAATATCTTAAATTGTGTTCCGAAGATGAACGAAGGTCTTACGGGTTTGGAACAACACGAGGGTGAGTAAATAATGACAGAATTTTCATTTTGGGGTGAACTAACCCTTTAAGCCTCCGATGTCTTCCTCAGGGTCTTTGACTCTTTCATTCGGCAGGAAAACTGTCTCATACTTCACAAACAACAGACATTGCAGGTGAATTCTGGGAAATATTTCAGTTTTGGGTTGCATAGATGAGGTTTGATGGATTTATAAGCTCTGAAAGCATCTATAAAACCATGGCTTCATTATGGTTTCATAATGTATTCAGAGTAAGCTGCCCACACGAGTGAAATCACCAGCAGTCCATTCATTTTGATACCACTTGCAAGATGATGCACACCAAGATTATATAACTACTACTCCACCACCTCCACAAAACATGGCATCAACAACACAACACCATGCAATCAGAGACCCCTACTTCGTTTTTCATCTGTTTGCCTTTTTAAACCTAAAACAAACATTGCTGTTCATATATTTCGGTTAATTTTTTTAACTCAGCAACAAAATCGATAACAGTAATTTGGCTTTTATCCAAGCGATTAGCAATAAGAGCTGGCGATTTCAAACATCTCGAGTGACAAAAATGTCATGAAAAGGGTCAACTGCTCTCTGTGCACACGATCGATATGGCATTCTAGTCCACACTGATAGCTGATGAGTGTGACTGATAAATAGCTACTAATGGTCATCAGTTAAAAAGACATTAATTTAGTGTAACTGAATTACTGCAGATGACTGGATGATTGAGATCAGGTTCTTTTTGATCTAGCTGAATGAATTACAAGTCTGTGTTTTTGGCTTCTGTGTTTAAAGTTGTTTGTAATTCCTATCCCATTCAAATGTACCGAGACATCTATAAGTAAGCCATTGCATGGATTCTTCAAAAAAGAGTCTGTAGACCTAAAACTAGACCAGACTTCAATATAAATTCAAGATTGTCACAAACAAAACAAAACAAATAAAGCAACAAAACAAAGCCAAGCAGAACAAAACAAAGAAAAAAAACAAATAAAAGAATGAAACAAAGCCAAGGCAAGCAAAGCATAAAACAAGCCAAAACAAGCCAAACCAAAACAAAACAAAGCATTTGGCTCGTAAATAAAAATATTGTAACAAAACAAAATAAAACAAAAAAACAAAGCTAAAAACAAAACATAAATTAAAAAAATTACATAGAAAATATAATATAACAAAAAAAAAAATACTATATGAATATAGTACATAAAAACTAAATAAAATAAAATAAAAATAGTCTCAAGAATATCAAAGATTTCATAGAGGAGGGTGTTTTTAATTTGGGCCAGTAAACAATTACTTAACAAACATTGTAGCCACCACATACTGCAGCAACAGGGCTCGCAAAATTTCCCATCCCATGCCCATCGGGCAGGCATTCTTCAGATTTTGATAGCCCAAAATTTATTTAACTAGCCCGAATAAAAAAAGATATCCGCTGAATTTCACTGCAGACAAAATCAGCATGATTAAAAGTGACTGTATTTTTTTCTCCAAATAACAAGACAAGAGTGTAGGGGTCCAACGGATCACAAATCTCATGATTTAGATCATGTTGTGGGTTTGGAGTCACAGAGCAGATCATTTTTTGAATGAGCAAAAAAAAAAACATTATCATTTAAAAACACTTTAAGTACTTTATTAATACCACAGCAAAAACTAGTAGCATAACTAATAAAGGTCAAGCATTACTAAAGAAAAGTGAACTGTCAGTAATAAAAAAAGAACAAATTACCTCAAGGAAGGGATTTCATTTCACTATTCAAGATAACCCGTGGAGCAGGGCGGTGATACATTTTGGTAGCCAGAATGGAAAACACAATAGCCCTGGGATGTCGGGTTAGCGATTTTTAAAACCTCAGAACACCTTAGCAACTGCACAGGAGTGCCCTGGCAACTAGCCACAACAAAACAGATAAGCACCGTTCACATTTTCTGAAGAAAATGTATAACAAAAGTTGTTCTTGCAAGCTGATTTGGCGCACAGGAATTACACACTTCACCTTTAATCCACTGCAAATAAAAGACACCACCACTTTTAAAATAAATGATAATAAGTAGCTATTAACATACATTCTATTATGACAAATGTTCAACCCTAAAATATGATTGGTTCAAAGGTCTTCTTGAAAAGTGGCCATGCCTCTTTTTGAGTCATGTAGATGTCATAAAAACAAAAGCGCCTGAATAACAGCTCTGCTCGGTCTCTCTGTTGAATAAAAAACTGGCGTATACTTTGACTGCAGGCTTCTTCTGCTGCTCAGAACCTGTTGCTAGGAGAGACCCCGGCATTTCTCTGTAAAGAGTTCGGCTATTTATATCTAAAGAGCATGAAGAAAAGAAATTCTGCAGCATGACTTGGTACGATTTGAATACTTCAAATAAATAAATCACTGGGTTTGACGTTTTCAGAAGAACACTGTTGCTATGACAGACAAAATGTTCTTTAAAGGGAAACTGCACCTAAAAATGGAAATTATGTGCATTATTGACTAAGCCTTCTTAAGTTGTACGAAAACTATGTGAGGAACGGACTGCAATTTCTCCTTTTGTTGAAAGAAAGAAACAAGGTCATACTGTATTTTGTTCCTACTTATAGTATTTACATTTTTTTGTTGAACTATCCCTTTAAGAAGACAAGCTAAATTAAATCAGGATTGAGGCTCTTACCTGTATTTGTGCCAATATGGCTGTATCGTGAGCTGACCTTCCTGATAATACTGTCGTGGATTTGGTACCACTCGCTCTCTGCGTTACATCTGTAAACATAATACGCCATAAGATTGCTATATATTTCAATCAGTTAGAACTAGGGCTGTGTGATATATTTGAACATCATCACAATCACAAAGTATTTATGATTATTTTCTTGGTAATATGAAATGAAGGAAAACTGTGAATACAGTAATAATTATAATGCACTTTTTTCATAGTCCTTCCTTGTCTTGCAACTTGTAAATATGAGATTAAGGTTTTAACATTGTCTGTGATTTAAACTTGAGTAGCAAAAACAGAATTAAAGCCATTTCACATCAAACATGAAAACAAAAAATGGAAACGAATCGAGAACCATCTTGGTAAAAATTAGGTAAGTCATGAATTGAATCAGTTAAGCTAATAAATTAAACTTTCAATTCAAATAAAAAAATAAAATAATTAAAACAAAACAAAATAAGAAATAAGAAAAAAGAAATAAATGTATTATTAATAATTAATTAATTAATTCAATAAAATAAAAAAGTCATATTTTACAGTATGAATAAAATATGAATTGGTGCAGCAATTTGTTTCATTAATTCTGTCTGAGCCCTAGTTGTAAATTAGTTAGAAATGGTGAGCTCAATACATTGAATGAATTACATTTGTAATAAATTCAAACTTCGAGGTTCTGAAAGAATACATGTCAATGAATTAAAGATATGAATAAAAATATATGTAGATAAAATGTTTTACTGTATTTTAGTTCTTGGATTAAACATTTTGAATGTAACTGCCTATGAAAGTGATTTGTTCTAGATAATGAATTATATTAAATGAAAAAAAAACATTTTAAGCCTTTAATATTTTAAACATTTCAAATATACACTATATATATCATCAATAAGGTGAAAAATATATTTAAAAAAAACATAAATAATTGCTGTATCACCCAGTCCTAGTTATAATAAAAAATGTATTGTACATTAATTAGCTTTATAAAGTCACTCCAAAAAAGATAGGGGGCGATACTCACGAGTAGATCTTCAGCAAATGATCGTCCTTGAAGTCAGCTGTTAACAGGTCAGCCACGCTAATCACGGCACAACCGTACGGACGCTTGTACTGCGTGTTACTCACGCTCTTCTTCTCACCTGCGACCATTCGCCCTGCGCACACACAAGTTGAGGCTCACACACACTGCTTTTATGAGAATAAAAACATATGATAATACAAAAAGATGTAACACAAATTTTTTTATTCTGCCTCAAAGAACACATAGCACAGTCACAAGCTTGACATAATGCATCATATGACACAAGTATTACAGCCGTGTCTTAAACTCTAGCTGACTTGTCAGTTTTATGTAGCTCTTATGGCAGAATGATTAACACTTATGTCTTTATAATGATGCTTGAAATACAAAATATACATACCAACAACTGTTACACAACGAACACTTCCCAATCCACAGTGACATGAATTACATACATGCAAATGAGCATTAATCTATACTGTAACATCACAGAATCTGTACCGGTGCAGGTCATGCATGTAGCTACAAAGACACAAAGGTGACGTTTACAGACAAAGACACCATATCTTGGTCACAACTGACTTGAAGTGGCCTGTCATTCAGCCCTTATAATGCTGCCACAACTATTGACTAATACATTTGACATAATCTGTGAATTAAAGCACTATCAAGCAGTGCACTATCAAGTTGTGAATTCCATATGACACCTATGACAGGGTCACTAAGGCGTTATGACAGGTCACACGGCGAGAAAATTGATGTGCATCCAACAGCTCTTACCTATTCTAAAAATATGAGCTACAACATACACATCTTTGCGAAGATCGCTACTTCCCAAATCCTTAAAAAAAGACACATTTTTTATTGAGCAATATTTACTAGATTCCATGCACCAAACATTTCTCTAAACCTACGCTGTTTAAAAGTTACTATTTAAAAGATCAAATAAAAATGTCAATTTGACAATCATTTATTGCCATTAAATAAACAAAAACAATGCAATCCAATAAAATGCAACAAAATAATAATAAAATAAAAAGAACTAGCAAAAAAAAAAAAAAACAACAACTAGAAAAACAAAAAATGAAAGAACTAACAAAACAAAAAACAAATGAACTAACAAACAACAAAAGAACAAAAAAAAAGAACTAACAAACAAAAAACAAAACAAAGGATTTCTTAAAATCCTGATAAACAATGAGACAAAACAATATTTTGACTTCCAAAGCCATTTTTTTTCAATGATCTACTTGTCTGCCACAAAAATGAAATTCCTTAAGTTATCTAAATTTTGGGGCTTTTCACCGCAAATAGTGATACATGTGATTAATTTAAATTAATGTGTTTAATAACTCCACATTTCATAGAATTAATTTTATTACAGTTCTAAATCGACTGACAGTCCTACTCTAGATATTTACAAATGCTAACTGTTGAGAAAACGAACATCTAAAATTGTGTTATTTTATATTCTTCAAAAATTCCTGCTCAGATTTACAAAAAAACTAAAACATTTTTGTTCACTTTTAAATGCAAAAATTTTAAAACATTATCAAAACTAATTTTCAGTCAAAGATACGTGTTTCACTCGGGAAACTATTTATCAACAACAGCACCAGATTCATTCAATGCCAAGGCAAGCAAAAAGGACCAAGGACACGCCCTTGGTGCACCCTGAAAAGGTCCATACTTACAACAAAGAGTGTACACTGCCTCTCAGTCTTCTCTGGAGACTTTGGTAGCCCTTGCTTATTGAGGCGCACAAAGAACCTCTCACTGCACAGACAGAAAGAGAGAGAGAGATGGTCAAGTTCATCAAAGACATGCCATGAACCATAAGGAAACACAGTAAGACCGGTGTGAGCATGAGTGTGTATGTGTGTGTTCGCAACTGCATGTGTTAGTGCATCTCCTCCGACACTAGAGCTAGGTAATTACAAGGAGAGGCCCATTGAGGCTCGGTATCTCCTCGATTCGCCTTCACTTTCACTAAGTGCCCTGGGGCATCACTCGTTCTGAATAATTTACAACGAGGAGGGGTGCCTGAACAGCACACCCCCTAACATGAGCGGCGAGAGAGAAGGAGGGAGAGAAAAAGAGACAGAAACCAATGAAAAATTCAACAAACACATCAAGGCCGTAGTTCCATCATGGATGTGAAGCTAAAACATCCCTCAGGCTGATGTATGTAGGATGGAGAGCTGTAAATATATGCATTGACATCACAGCCGAATTGAATTTCAGATATTAGTTCCCAGTAGTGCCGCAATCAGCGTAATAGTCTGATACCGTCATACATATATACTCAAGGTAAATGCACTGACGGATGACTGGTTGGGGTTGGAGACATCTTTTAGACAGCTAGAAGGAATATAGTGATTCATAATTAATGAAATCGTGGTCAGACTGAATCGATGCACAAGTTTTTTGTGGATTTTTATTGTCGGATCTGACGGACAACTTAGTGAGTAATCAACATGACAGCCTTTTATTGCATTCAAACTTTTAACCTTATTGATTACCAAATCAAATGTTTAACAACAATGTATTTAAGTATGCAAGAAGATATTCAAACAATGAGAACAAGACAACATTAGACCCCACTGGTTTTCATTGCATGGAAGACGTTTTTCAAAATAGCTTTGTGTTCTACAGAAGAAAGAACGTCATGCAGGTTTAAACGACATGAGAATGATTAAATAATGACAGATTTTTCATTTTTGTGTGATTTAATCATACTTCAGTCAATTTAAGACTTGAGATTGGGTGTCTAGGGTCAGAGATGGCACCTGATTGGTCGCATTTCCCTGCTGTCATAGACAGAGTAGAATACTTCCAGCTCCTCCCCCAGGTTTGAACTCATCATGCTCTTCATCTGAAGGAACAGGTGGTGCATACTGGCCTGCGGGGGAGCCTCGCGTCTACGATGACGTCTCTCCATCTATTCAAAACAACCCAAAATATAATCCTTAATCACTGTAATGACAAAGGCATTTACAACAACAAGATCACTCAAAATTTTCATAAACTATCTAACAGCACCCCATCTAACCACCACTACAGCAGCACATACTGTATCTTTGTTTAAAAATACATAGCTAAAACTCATGCAATACTGCTGAAATGCATCATTTCTATTGAATGTAGCAAGTAAAACCAAAGCTTTATGTAACTTGTGCGGTGAAATAGCAGCACAGACACTTATAGCACATTTTCTGGGTATTTCCACTTTTATGTGGCATATTTTTATGCTTTATAGGTTTTGTGTAAGACATTTGTATTCAGTAACCTGTAAAACATCTCACAAATCTGAATCCTGAATGAGTTTTAATTGATTTTGTCTGTTGTTCAAAAACAACCTATGTATTTCTTTGCTATCAACCACATCAAATTATAATAACTTTTAGTACATTATTACATTAAATAATGTAATAACAGATCATTAAAACTGTGCCCAGTACTGTGGTTTCATCTTTAAGCTTTAGACCTATCCTGTGTTCTTCTGAAAAGAAAGATCCTTCAAAAAGTAACTTAACCCTGGGGACGCCACATTGGCATTTTTTTTCGCTTGCGCCCTCACTTCCCACTATCCTCTCTTTAAATGCTCTCTCTAGTCTAGTACATCCACACCCACATCTTGTTCTCTTTTGTTTCTTTCCTTCCTCCTTTAACCCCTACCCCCACACCTCTGCCCACCCATGGACCAGTGGAAACTGGGACACGTGTGGTCAGGCCTGCAGCCGTGAGAGAAAAAGACAGAGAATTTGGTGAATTCAGACTATATTGATATTGTCTCACTAGCTCTCGTTCAAAAACGTAGTGAGCTAGGCAACATTTTAAGACATTACAGGTGCTCTCCTGATACAAAAGCTTAACTTAATAATGCAGCCTACTAAGATACTTTTGTTCTGACCGAATTCTAATGCAGAATTGTATGTTTCCTTTGCAGAGAATGCAATTCCATAATGCAATGATCTATGATTTAAACACACACACACACACACACACACATACTATTATTCATTCAGTACTGTAAAAAATAATTTAAAAATTAATAATAAAGTAAATAAAAATAAAAATTTACAACTATTTTATTTTATGACTATTTTATAACTTCCTGACTATTTTATCCCAAATTTGTTTGTGCTATGCATATTTAATACTGAGATGTATAGTTATAAAACAACAGTATTTAAATTAAATATACAATATATATTCTAAAATATTTTTATTTATACTATCAAAAATTATCAAAATAAATACATAAAATAATCAAATCAAATTTTAAAAAATGTGTGCGCTATGTATATTTAATAATGAGAAGTATAGTTACAAAACAGCAGTAATGTATTTAAAATAATAAATAATTAATTAATATTTATTTTAAGTATAAAAATAAATAGTAAATAAAAATGATTAATAAAATAAAAAATATCAAAATCAAATAAAACAACAAACTATAAAATAAAATATTTAATTAATTAGCTAAATAAAATCAAATAAAATTCCATATCAGTTCCATGTCAGTTAGTTCCTTAGTAGGCAGCTGCTTATGTCTGCAGTAGGCAGCTCACAAGGTTTTGGAACAGATACTATATTGCAAAGAAAGATCTGTACACAGGCACTGTTGTGGCTTTGAGAGATATGAACTAATTGTGCCAATGATGCTGCGGGTATGCCAAATTATAAGGGCAGGAAACTGCATGCGTGAAGTGTCTCTGCAGTTTGCAAACAGCCTGTTAATGCGCCATTTAGCATTTCTCTCTTGTCCTTAATTACTATCATTTCCCTATGCACAGGCGACTGGAAGTGTGTGTGTGTGTCTCTTTGTTAAAACAGAGGACGAAGCACTCGAGAGGGAGCCTTGGCGTCAGGTCGAGCTGCAGTTGCCATAGTAACACAGCAAAGAATTTGGGTGGCAGAGGAGGGAGGTGAGGTGACTCATGGGTAATGAGAATGTGTGTGTGTATGCATGTACGTGAGCGTGAATGTATGTATGACTACCCACCAGCCGATACAGCTCTGTGATGCTGATCTCATCAGGGTCCACCATGCTGAAGTCCCTCCTGGGGACCAAATCCAAACCCAGCTGCCTGTCACACACAAAAACACATCAAATCTCACTATGGTTATTATAATTTTGCATTTTCCATTTTGTTTTTATTTTGGCACTATTTTCAGATTCAGATTTTAACATAAAATTACAGATTTAACAACAAATGTGTTAATGACACTTTATTTTTATTTAATAGACATATATTTTATATTAAATAATATTACAAAATATTGATCTTTTTTATTATATACAGTGGTGTGAAAAATGTTGGCCCCCTTACTGATTTCTTGTTTTTTTGCATGTTTGTCTCACACTAATGTTTCAGATCATCAAACAAATTTAAATATTAGTCAAAGATAACACAAGTAAACACAACATGCAGTTTTTAAATGAAGGTTTTTATTATTAAGGGAAAACAAAATCCAAAACTACATGGCCCTGTGTGAAGAAGTGTTTGCCCCCCTGTTAAAACTGTGGTTTATCACACCTGAGTTAAATTTCTCTAGCCACACCCAGGCCTGATTACTGCCACACCTGTTCGCAATCAAGAAATCTCTTAAATAGGACCTGCCTGACAAAGTGAAGTAGACCAAAAGATCCTCAAAAGCTAGACATCATGCCGAGATCCAAAGAAATTCAGAAACAAATGAGAAAGAAAGTAACTGAGATCTATCAGTCTGGAAAAGGTTATAAAGCCATTTCTAAAACTTTGGGACTCCAGCGAACCACAGTGAGAGCCATTATTCACAAATGGTGACCAGGAAGGGGGCCAACACTTTTTCACACCACTGTATATATAATACATTATTATATATAAATAATAAATGTATAAAAAATATGTAATGTATTGTGAAAACCCTATTTGTAATTAATAATTAAATTACATTATATTAAATTAAATGTATCTAATTAATTGCAATTAAACACATCCTTATTGGAAAACCCCCTTAAATGTGCCATAACCACAGATTTTTGTTTATTTTGCTGTCATTATTTTATTTTTACAAATTATTTAATTGTTTTTTTTTATCACAGTTTTTGTCTTGGTTGTTATAAACATCGGGCCCTATGAAATTTTAATTTTTTCCCCAAATTCCATGTTTTCGGTTTTAATTTTTGTTTTATTCTGTTTTAATGGTTTTATTAAATTTTATTCTATGTCTAATCAACTGAATTCATAAAACTTCAACAATGTAATAATTTATTAAAAATGTAACAAATGATAGTTAATGAAATGTTTTATTTTTTCAGAAATTCTGTGTTGCCCGGTTTAATTTAACATGCACAATATGCAAATATATAAATGTATTATCAAAAGACTTTAACAGTTTAATTATTCTTATAAAATATTATCAATGAAATTGGAACAATTTCTTTAATTTTTTATTTCTTTCATTTTTGGCAAATAAAGTGCTGCACAACAGAGGTTTTAAATCAAAACATGGACGTAAAATTGTAGGATTTTGTGTGATATTCCTTAAAATATCACATAAATATCACCTCTACTTTTGTTTTATTCATCCAAATTTTGCCAAATTCTGTGACATTCCGCTTTATACAGTAAATTCCATCATTATGACTGGATTCCATGATTCGGTCCACATTTTCCACATTGCAGAAATCATAGGTTCCTATATACAATAAAAACCCAAGTAATTTTCAGAGAACAATCTGCAGTAACCTTCACAAAGCATGAATCTAATGTGTGAATAATCCATTTCATTGTAAAGCCTCCAAAAAATGCTATGTACTGAAAGACACAAAAAATCCATACGTAACACGTCCCACTCGTTACTACCATCTGTGACTTTTTTTTTTAGAGAAAAACCACATATAAGCATTCAAACACATGGCTGACAGATTGGCCAGCATTTGCCGGCAGTTCATCATCACCATCCCCACCACCGCGTTCCACCCACTGTTTTTATGTGTACTGCACAATACATGTGAAATCACTCAAAAAAAAAACACAATGTGGCAAAGACAGGAAAGCCCAACTCTAATGGCATAAATGAATCAAACTGAATGATTTCACAAGAACCCAAAATTGCAGTAGTCGATACCAGTACCATCACAACAATGACAGTATTTTTATTTTTGGTGTATGTAACTGTATAACTCACTCGTTTCCCCAGTCCAGCCGTGCCGTGATGTGCTGTTTGATGTCACTCAAGCGGTCGTGAGTGAGGTGGCCCACCAGAACCTGCTGCCGCAGCTCCAATATCTCATTCATCACGTGCCACAGTCTGTGAAAAAGATCCCCTTCATTTCTCTGAGAGAGACAGAAAGAACACGAGTGGGTGACAGAGAAAGTATGTTTATATTTTTTAATTAAATTAGCTCTTAAAAAAAACTCTAGTTGAAACAGTTTGGGTAGAAACCGTTTTCAAACTACATCTTATTAATTAATACTTACCAAGCACTAAAAGAATAAAACTGAAAATTTTTGTTTTTTTAATTTTTGGGTAAATTAAACCATATTACTGTCCAGATGCCTGAAAAAAACATTTTGTATATATATAAAAAAAAAAAATATATATATATATATATATATATATAGATAGATATTTTTTTTATTGATAATAATTAAATTAATAATCTAATTAATATATAATTTTATATATTGTATTTTATATTTATATATATATATTTACATCTTTTATTTCACATTTATCTAGTATGATTTCCTTCTAATTTATATAGCTTATAATACATCTATATCAATCTACCTATCTATATAAATATAAAATATACTGTTTATATATGTATGCATATATAAATAATTTTACTTTATTTTTTAGAACTATAATTCTTATAATATGCAGTATTCTATCGATCCATCCATCCATCCATCTATCTATCAATCAATCAATTTTTTTCAGAATTCTTTGATAAAAAGAAAGTTCAAAATAACATTTCAAATATTTCAAATGTTTGGTAACATTATAAATGTTTTTACTGTAATTTTGATCAATCTAATGCCTCCTTGCAAAATAAAAGTATTAATTTCTTTTTTTTTTAATTGTTCTGACCCCAAACTTTTACGCAGTAATATTTATTTATTTATTTATTTATTTTTAGGAAATAATGCAAAATGCAGTTTTGGAAAATGCAGGGTTCCTGGACAATTTTTAACTTAAATGTTTCTTTTTGTTAAAAAAATAAAAAATTCCATTATTTTTTCAGGCCTGGAGAACACAATTTAAAAATTCCATCATATTCCCAGGTTTTCCATGAGCTTGGAATGTAAAAATATTTATTTCCGATTAATTCACTTATCACTGTCAAGACTAATATAAAAAAAATATGAACTTACAAATGAAATATTTCCACAGTTAAATCAACTGCATTTGTTCAGTGCAACACAAAGAGTGATATTTACCATGTAGAGCTGCTTCCACATGGTGCCCCAGTCTCTCAAGGTCATAGTTATCTCTGTAATGACCGAGTCCTCGGTGGGAATGACCGTCTCAAACTGCCTGCAGGGCAAGACACACAAACACACAGTCACACATCTGAACGAGTCCAGGATGGAGAGCAGTGACCTCGCATGACCCTGAGGAGTAACACTGACTCATGAGGACATGTCTGCAAATACACTTGCGAAGGCTTGTGGGCTAGTGAAGGCTCCTGTCACTTCAATAGAGCAGATGTGCAAATGCATTTTATCTGAAGCACAAGGATGGCCTCTAGTAGCAGTTCAGTGTTCTTCTCAAGGGCACTGGTGGCAGGTCAAAGGTGAGATTTCATTAGCCATCCATTCATGGGTTACCAGTCCCTGGGATCAAACCTATTATACCTTACTTTAACAGATTCAAAACTGTCTTTCTTTAAAATAAATGCCACTTGGATTGATATGTTATCCATTATCTAAAGCAATAATATTTTAGATTTACATTTTTAAGTGTGGCTTTATTGTCTCAGATATATTTTTATTTATACATAAATATATACAGCAAATTTTTTGTTTTCATGGACTCGTACCCTTTGTTCTTGACGAGGGCATTCTTGAGGTGAATATAGGAGCTTGGGAATATTCCCTGGGAGAGACAACAGAAAGTTATTTAATGAGCCAATTACTGCATGTAAAACACACAAACAAACATAAATGTGCTGAGAGTCAAAGCAGAGGAAGGTGATACAGATAAACAGAAAAAAAAACTGACAGAAATATAGGAATCATTTAAATTTTGCATGGTTACGGAAGCGACGCAGGATTGTTCTCACCTTTACGTTTGGATTCTTTGTGATGAATCCTCTGTACCATCCTGCAAAATGGCATTTATAATAATCTCACACTTTCACTTTTCAACAGCAGAATGCAAAGTGTATTAAACATTTCTAATCATTTCAGCTTTAAGTATGTGGTGCAAAAATGAACTGGTTTCACTGAGGGTGTTTCTTCAACTATAGGCACTTTGACCCTGTGGAATTCTAGAAAATATACTAGTCATCAGTGTGAAAGGTGTGGTTTATGAGAGTTTATTTCATTTATCTGCTAATGAAAAAATAATCGATTAAAAAAGTATTTCTATACAGTAAAATAAATATTAAAAATGAAATATAAACAATATTACATATAAAATATTAAATGAATATATTTAAATAAATACTATTTAATATAAACAAAATACATACTGTACATAGATATGTAAGCAAATAAATAAATTATATATATGAAAATAATTATAAAATGTGTTGTTGTGGTTATTTTGCCATACCAGCTTCAGTGGCTATTATAATTGCAAGAAAAATACAGTAAATTATATGAGATTTTTAAAATCTTTTTTGTTCAAACTTGGTTCAACTTTGTTAAAAAATAAATCTTTCAAAGTGTTAAATGAATAAAAAAGGTTTCTCACAGTGGTTAAGCCCAGCATACTCTAATAAAAACAGTGGCATCTGCTTCTAGTTGAAGAAACACCCAAAATTAAACAATGCAAGAATACCAAGAATTACATTTTGCAATGATCTTTTTATAAAGTTATAAAGACATCTACTAAAAAAAAGCAGTGACTGCATCTCAACAAATAAATTCAACAGAATCAGTCTCCACAACTGAGGATCTACAGCTCTGAAGAGGTTGACTGTCCTCTACACAATGACAACATTGACTACCTTCACATTTCTCCAAAATCTGCACCGTGTCGCCGATCTCCAGCGGGAGTCCATGCTGAACCATTCCTCGAAAATTTGCCAGCACTGAGGGGGGAAAAAAGCAAACAATAAGTAAAGAAAATTTGTGCGAATCATGAGTAAAGTAACAGCTCTGACAGATGTGACAAAACATCTGTCTCCACAAAACGTTGCATGGAAGAGATGGAAACCATCTTTCGGCCCAGTGGGCGAAGTGATATCAGCATTACATTCAATATTGACTCTGAATTCAGAAACAGAGATTTTAAAGTCATTCTCAATTCACTTCTGAATAACAAACAACCCAGCACTCCACACGTTTCCTTAAAAAATAAATCGTACTATGCTTAGATCGACACTTCTAACATTATCTCACCGCTTTCTTAAAATAAACCCTCATCCCTAAGCATGAGTTACATAACAAGTACAAGATCTCTCCACACAGGAGCTCACAGGCTCAACCTATCAACTACTTTTGCATTCACATGCGTATATTCTCTATGCACAACTTGTTAAATTGGAGTGCTCATTTGCATATCAAATGGGTTAGGAAATATTCTGACATGGAAATAAATAAATAATTATATGCATAAACAAAACCTGCCAGAGCTCTGACACTGCTCAGAGGTTAAACAGGCTGCCGAAACAGCCGTGTCAGCTTTTAAAGACGGGATGTGTTGCTGTGCTCGCTGCCTGTCAGTGACAAACACACAGCATCCGTCAGTCCAGTCCAGCAGAGATGCTGCAAGAAGGGCTGAGACCACTCTTTTCCAGTCAGATACCAGGAACGATCAAGGTTAATATCACCAATATCAATATTGATAATTATATTAAAAGATATTTTGTGTGATTTCAAAGGATAAAATGGGTAATTATAGCCATTTAACAAATTCTTATTATTATTATTAACATTAAAAAGATCAAAAAAATCTAATTAAGTTGAGACTTTTTTGGTTTTCCATTCATTAACAGCAATTTTAGAACAAGTAATTACTGACAAATGATCATAAATCTAACAGCTTCTATGGATTTAATATTTAAAAAAAAAAAAATTTTTAATGGGTCAAATGTTATGTCAATAAAATATAAGGTTGTATAGTACATCTTAATCATTGCAAAAAGATCTTAAATCAAAATGTTTTTAAAGATTTTTTCAAAGTAAAAATTATATTTAATAATTTAAATATTTTTCAAATAGTTTAAGGAGTAAATTACTAAAGCAGTAATAAAGCAGTTTTGTTAAATACTATTATTACTGGTTTTATTATCATTATTAGTAGTAGTAGTAGTAGTAATTAAAAAAATGTTTTTATTCTTTTAATTAAGCTTTTTTCTTTATTATGATACCAGATATCATAATGAAGAAAAAAGCCTCCTTCAAATAATTTTCAAAAAGTTTAAAGATTTTCAAAGTAAAAAAAGTTATAATTAATATTTTTTTATATTTTTCAAATAGTTTTAAGCAGTGAAGCACTTTTGTTAATATATTACTATTAATAATAATATTATTATTACTGTAAATAAAAGTAATTTATGTAATTTATAAAAAAAAATGTTTTTAGTCTTTTAAAGAGAACCGTACATCTATTAAAGAATAAATTATTTAAAAAAATCTATTAAAGAATAAATTCTTTTAAAAAAAAGGTGTTTGGCATACTATTCTTTTATTATTACTGTAGTAGCAGTTGCATCACCTTGCTATTTTTGACTTTATTACACAAAAGCAAATAAAAAAAAAATCAAACCATTTTTAAAATTTTTATGCATTTTTGAATAAATTAACTGATAGTATAAAAATCAGTGTCATGTCACAGACCTAGATATACATTTCTTATTTAACCAATAGATTTCCACAATCTTTTCCATGACCAATCACGTGCGATTACTTACTGGATTAAGGATTTTTAATAATCATCTTGATTCAGATGAATCTAATCTAATGAACCCCCCCCCCCCCCAACCAAAAAAA